TTAATACCGTTACCTTTCCAGTCCAGTAGCTTGAAAACTTCTTCCAATGCAGCGGTGAAGATTTTCGGGGAAATAACGTCACCCTGTCTTACACCTCTCTGCAGTTGGATAGGTTTCGTACTCTGGTTCTGTTCTTTCGTTTTCTTGGATAGCCATCGTAGCCCTACTGTACAAACACTTCAGCACTTCGATATACCGACAGTCAACTTGGCACCGCTGAAGGGACTGTAGCACCGCTCAAATTTCGACGGAATCAAGGGCCTTCTCACAGTCCACATACGCCAGGCAAAGTGGCAGATTGTACTCTTCGGACTTCTGTATAATACAAATACCACATACATAACCTATGGCAAACTGTTGCTATAGGGTATGTATGTGGTCTATGGTACTAAAGCCTTTTCGTAAACCGGCTTGTTCGGGAGGCTGAAAGTCGTCGAGTCTGCGTGCGAGATGGTTCGTAATGACACTCGAAAACAGCACGTAGACGCGGCTCAGAAAGGATATCGGTCTGTAGTTCTTCAAGAGAGCGCTGTAACCTTTCTTGAAGAACAAGACCACTGCACTTCTGCTCCACGCCTCGGGAGTAGTGCTTCTATGGAGGACGGAATTAAAAAACTTCTGAAGGACTTCAAGTACCGGTTTTCCCACCCGCTTTCAGAAGCTCCGCTGTAATTCCCTCCTCGCCCGGAGACTTGCCGTTTTTAAAATGCTGGAGAGCCATTATAATCTCGCTGAGAATGACTTACGGGATATCCTCGGAATAGTGTCTGATAAGACTTGCTTTTGGATGGTTACTCATACTTGCGTGTGGCTCCAACGATGATGTGTACAGCTGCCTATAAAACCTCTCAATCTCACTTAAAATCTCAGGTGTCCCAGAAACGATGCTGCCACACTTAGTCTTTAGCTTTGACAGTTGGCTCTTTCTGGCAGACAAATCTCTGGCAAAGACTTTGTAGCCCCGGTTCCGCTCGAACGCTTCTTCAATATGAGGTGTATTGAAGTTGCGTAAGCCCTGCCTGCCTGCCGCATGCATTTGGAGATCTGTCTGTTCAGTTGCCTGTATGCTGTCAAATCTGCTGACGACTGCAGCTTTATCGTTCGATTCGATTGCAAAAGGAAACAACAGTAGAAAGCATTGAAAAATATGTTAAGAAAATTTATGGAGAAGAAATACCAGTTAAGGTGGAAAAAATAAAACACAAGACAGAAAGGGATTATGCCTCCTTTATTATAGGAGTCCCGGAAAGCAAATATAATAAACTGTGTCAGCCAGAAAACTGGGTAATAAATATAGAATTCTCGGAATGGGTGTGTTTTCGTAGAACAAAAAACTCTTAATAAATCCGTGGATATAATGTATCAAAATGTGCGTGGGCTCCGAACAAAGTTAAGGGAATTTTACACCAATATTTCGACAGCAACTGCAGACTTGTTTGCCATCACGGAAACATGTTTTGGCACAAAGCGCTTCTTTCGAAGCTCCCTTCCTATGGGCTTCCCGAGAAATTGCGCGATTAGATCACCAGTTTTCTTGCAGATCGGAGCATCAAGGTCGTTGTAGACGGTGCAAGCTCCGATTGCAAGCTTATTAATGCTGGTGTTCCACAGGGCTGCGTGCTATCGCCAACGCTGTTTCTTCTGCATATCAATGATATGTTGCAAACCCGTAGCATTCATTGCTATGCGGATGACAGCACTGGTGATGCTCTTTACACCGGCCGAGCCAATATTTCTCGGGAAAACGTCTCTGAGTGCCGGGACAAACTTGTGTCTGAAGTCGAGTCTCTGCTGGACAGAGTCTCGGATTGGGGGCGACTAAATCTAGTCCAGTTTAACCCCCAGAAGACACAAGTTTGCGCATTAACCGCTAAAAAGAACCCCTTTGTCGTATCCCCTCAGTTTCAAGGCACTCCCCTTGTTGCCTCAGCCAGTATCGGAATCCTCGGCGTCGACATATCGAATGATGTGCAGTTTCGTGGTCACTTGGAAGGGAAGGCCAAATTGGCCTCTAAAAAGCTTGGCGTGCTCAGCAGAGCGGGACAGTATTTCATGCCGGCACACCGCTTGCAACTTTACAAGGCGCAGGTTCGGCCGCCCATGGAATACTGTTCCCATCTCTGGGCTGGGGCTCCCCAGTACCAGCTCCTTCCACTTGACCGCATCCAGCGCAGAGCGGCTCGAATCGTCGACGACCGAGTGCTTTCCGATCGGCTCGATTCACTGGCGCTGCGAAGAGATGTTGCATCTCTTTGCGTATTTTATCGCATCTATCACGGGGAGTGCTCTGAGGAATTGTTCGGATTAATCCCAGCCGCCAAATTTCGTGAACGCACTACACGGCAAACGTCCCGATACCATCCACACCATCTGGATGCTTGGCGGTCCACCACTGTACGTTTCAAAAGGAGTTTTCTTCCGCGTACAACCTCTCTGTGGAATAATTTACCACCGGTGATTTTTCCGGACCGATACGACCTGGGGACCTTCAAGAAAAGAGCTTACTCCTTTCTAAAGGGCCGGCAACGCACCTGCAATTCCCCTGGTGTTGCGGTTGATCATGGGCGGCGGTAGTCACTTAACATCAGGTGAGCCACATGCTCGTTTGCCCCCTCTTCTATAAAAAAAAAAAATGTTGCAATGAATCCATTCACGACGCAGAATTAATACCACCTGGATACACCACTATACGATATGACCGAGCGGATGGACGTAAACAAGGCGGCGCGTTTCTCGTGGCCACACCGTGTTTAGAGCTGCGACGAGTATTGCTACAGAGTAATGTGAACATGATGTGTTTGAACTGATTTGTGCTACGGTACATAGACGTAATAGGTATTTATTCTTGCTTTGTGTTGGACACATATACCATCCGGTAGCAGTAACAATGAATATTTCTTGTTATTTAACGTTATTGAATAATTATATAAGTATAGTGAATTATTAGTTTTAGGGGACTTTAACTTATATTTGTGTTCTACCGCTGTGAGAAATTACTATAAATACTTTCAAACTTTTTGTGGATTTACTCAGAGTAATAGAGTAGGTAACTGTAACGACCGTCAGTTAGATCTAGTGTTGAGTACATCGGCAGAGGAAGGCAGTATGAGTGTGCGCGTGGCAGAGATGCCGCTCGTGCCTGTGGACGCGTACCACCCGCCACTCGAGATCTCGGTAAGTACAAATACGCGCCTGTGCCGTCATTCCGACTTAGCAGGTTCAGCTGCACCAGAAATTAATACATTCGCATTCGCGGGTTGGAACTTTAATAAGGCCAACTTTTTACTGCACTTTTTTGCTAGTCATATGTCCGATAGGCAGCAATATGTAGAATATGCGGGACATAAATCGGAACCATATTTCACGTGTTCCGGGGTAAGTCATGGCAGTAACCTTGGCCCTTTGGAGTTCTTGCTGATGATAAACGACCTACCAGAAGTGATGAAGGACGCTAAGTGTTTATTGTTTGCTGACGACCTCAAATTATCTCTTGCGGTAAAAAATGGGGATGACTGTGCCAGACTACAAAGGGACATAGACAGGGTTGTAAGTTGGAGCAAAGACAATCTCTTGCAATTTAATAGCTCTAAGTGTGTGTTACTTACTTTTTCTCGCGCACAAACTCCTATTTTACATAATTATCACATTGACGGGCTGTTGATGACGAGGGTCAGAGAAGTTAAGGATTTAGAAGTAACTTTTAACACAAAGCTTACTTTTTATGATTACATCATAAGCATCTGTAAAAAAGCTTATAGAAATCTAGGATTTATGCTTCGTACAGTGAGAGGATTCACAAACATAAAAGCGATTATCACCTTATATAATGCATTGGTAAGGAGTCAACTTGAATGTATTGCAGTCATCTGGGCCCCGCATGAAACTAAGTATAGTCTCATGCTGGAGCGAGTACAAAATAAATTCATTAGATATTTATATATATGCGTTATTATGGTGTCTACCCAATTTACCCTTTAATGTATCCAACTTTGTTTTTATTAGGTATGGTAGGATATAATGAACTTAGGGTTAAGAGGGAACTCGCGCTCACCTCGTATATTTTTAAAATACTGCGAGGAAAATTGTTTAATGCTGAAATATAAGGGGAGCTTAATCTATGTGTTCCTGAGAGGTATGTGTGGCGCCGACGGCAACCGCGACTGTTGGTGGTACCGCGAGGTCGAACCAACCTTCTGAGTGAGGCACCTCTAACGCGCGCACTCCGCACGCTCAACTTAATAGCTTGTGAGACGGACCTATTTTGTTGTACTCTGTAAATTCACAAAGACAGCATTGTTTGTAATTTGTTACAAAAATTAAACAATCTACACAAATCAGACAGCTATACTATCGCATTAGGTAATCCTGTAATGATAGTTGTAAGTTTCAGAAATAAATAAATAAAATAAATTAATGACTTTGGTACATTCAACTAATTGTAAATAATTTTGTAGTTCTTATGAATACAATAAGATTTGATCTCGATTTTCTGGGGTGAAATATCGAATCACTGGATCGATTCAGTACTATATATCGATTACAAATCGATCTTTTTGGCAAATGAAAATGAAATCGATTCTTCGATTATTCGATCTCAGTTCGACATGCCTATGTTAGGCATTGCTTTGGATTGCTTTGCTCGTTGCTCCTGTCATTCAGCAGGTTTTGGTTGTTTGCTATTGCTACACAATTTTATAAGCTTACAATTTAGTTTGGACACTTGAAGGCTTTTTAAATTAAGTTTTAGCTTCTTTTTGTGTGTTTGTGGTTAAATTATTTTTTGAAGGTGCTTTTACAATTTAAATATTTATACGCGTAGTGCGGTGCATATTTCCGTTATTGAGAAATATAAACCTCTCGTTTAAAATACCTTCATGTTAAAGAGAAATAATTTTGGAACAGCTGTTTATAAGTGATAAAAAATAACGCGCAAATGCCAAGCTTCTTTGCGGTCACACGGATGCGAGAACTTGATCGGGGTAGCGTTATTCGGTGGTACTATGCTGTTTATCAGTGCCTTAGCGATCGGTATGATTACTGGTTTACAGAATGTTACAACGGAAGTGCCGACGACGGACAGTGACGTCGTTTCTACTACCGAAGATATGGGCCTGCTGGAGCCAACAAAGTTGTCGCCTCCAGTGAGCGATTTAGTCAACGTGACGATACATGATCGACCAGCAATGTGGGATGTGTATTTACACCATTGTCCGAAGTGGCGGCCGATCAATCATATATTCTTCCAAGTGGCCAATATCTGTTTCCTCTTGTCATTCCTGGCACCCCATACAGCCACTGGGTTGATCTGGTTGCGGGTGGCTTTGATTCTGGGATGCGCGTTCTCTGGAATGTGGGCCTGGAGTGTTGAGTGCTATTTGGATGCTGTGCTATGGAACAGTGCATTTATAGTGATTAACTTTGTGTATTTTGCTGTGCAGTTCTATTTGATGCGGCCTATCAAGTTTCACAAGGATATTGAAGAGGTAAGTGACAGCTTAAAATGTTAGTTGAATTAGCCCCACGCAGTATAATATATTTAGTTTTATAAAACAAAATGAGATATTACAAGGTATAATGTTCAGCACATTTAATGAAAAATATTATTATAATGTTTTGTTAGATGCAGCAGCTTCTAACTGTATGATCTTAAGGAAACAAAAGTTTTCTGTAACTAAGTGGATATCTTCCATTCCAGTACTGCTTTAAACACTATTTTAATAAAACAAAATAAATTTTATAGCTTATAAGGTATAATAAATAATTATATTAATTTAATACCCTTATATATATAAGGGTATTAAAATTAATATAAATAAAACGCGATAAAATCCCTCAAAGTAGTTTTAATCAATGTATAGTGTTTGCGTAAATATAAGAAATCATTATGCTTATAAGGTATTTTCTTATTTTCTTTTGTGGTGCTTGTTTTCTCATATTTAATGTGGGGTCCCCCTGACTTAAAAAGGTTTTTTAGGTATTAGGCTTATCCTCTCACCTCAAATCAGTGAACGAAGTTTTATGGACACAGGCTATCCTATAGATTGCCTCATAGGAGTGACATTTTCCATAAATGCGATGCTTTTATTTTTTTAATTTGTATATAGTGAGTAGTGATAGGATGATGCTGCTGCCTATCTGAATTTCCCCCTGTCAACTCTCACAATATGGAATGATTAGGATAATAGATTTGTTTATGCCACCAATGTGTAGGGCCACCATACTGGGAATATATTGCTAACGCTGTGTAATGGTGAAATATTCGCAGAATATTATTATTATTAATTATTACTGGTAACTAAGTATTTCATTATAGATCTTCCAGTCCCCAGGGATATCAATGCATGTGGTTTTTTGTTTTGTTTACATTCAAATAAAGTAATGTATTTTTTAACATTCTCTAAGTAAATTGGATCCATTAATTATCTGGAAAAAAAACTCAGTCCTTGTTATCTAATTTATAATACACAAGAACTTGTTTAATTTTGAGTAGTATTATCCAATTGACTAAACACAAATGATACCTTGACTTCAAGAATATGTGAATAAACAATGTTTTTTTGGGTCACACTCATAACCCTTACTAAGTCATTCTTATTTAATTAAACCCCTATTATACTAGACTGCACTCTAATCCCTTACAGTAACACAGTCTTGGACCTCACAGGTTAATGAGGTCAGTAGAAAAATGTTTGCTGCGTTAAGCTCTTTACTTAGATTACGTAATTTTCTTCCCACAGCAACTAAAGTTATGCTCGTCCAGTCTCTACTTCTGCCTTTCCTTGACTATGCTGATATTTGCTATCTTGACATTACCAAAGAGCAGCTTAATAAGCTTGAGCGCATTCAAAGTTTATGCATTAGATTTATATTTGGGCTTCGCAAATATGATCATATCTCCGAATTTTGCAAACAGCTCAAATGGCTCCCGATCCGCCTTCGCAGGAATACTCACATTCTCTCCATATTGTATAGTGTGCTGTTTAATCCTTCTACTCCTCTTTATTTAAAAAACCATTTCCAGTATCTTTCTCTTACCCATAATCGGTTCCTTCGATCCTCTAAATCTCTTCCCTCTTTCAAAAGTTTTGTTAAATCGTATTATTTAAAACGCTATTAGATAAAGTACTTTACCTTTCTCATACTCTTTTCATTTAATCTATTATATGATATCTTATATATAACTTTCACTTAATCTTATTTGTATGTATTGTTATATTTTTTATTATTATTTTGTTTGCCCCCCTCTATTTTAACTTTTGTTTGCATCATTCCTCTACGCAAAGGTTGTCTGGAACAAATCACTTTCAGAGTTATAAGACCGCCTATTGTACATACTTTAATTAGTTATAACTGAACTTGATGTTTCTGTATTGTGGTGTACAATAAAAATAAATAAATAAACAAATATCAATAAAACATTAAGTACTACCATTCTTTAATTCATATCAAATAAAGTAGTAAATTAAGAGCATATATCACATAACTGTGTATAGTATTACATCTAAAGTAGTTGCTACTTTAGATGTAATACACATAAATTAAGAGCATATATCACATAACTGTGTATAGTATTACATCTAAAGTAGTTGCTACTTTAGATGTAATACTATAAATTCACCATCACATATTGTAATAAAATTCTCTATACCATCCTCACCATCTGGAATATTGTTGGTTTAGCGTATCCTATAAGTTTTCTTCCTCACATGTGCATTTTGTGGCATCTGCTATTTTTCGTCTTTTTATTTAGTAGCAATTTTTCTAGACCAATACAATTTACAGTTCTTTAAGAAAATAGCCTACTCTTTTTGAAAGGGAGGCAATCCTCAGGTGTTGCAATTGTTCATGGGTGTTTTTTATCACATTCCATGAGGTGAATGGTATACTTGAGAGAAAAAGAAAATTCTTAACCATTTGTTTGTCATACAAGAAGACCTAAAAGTTGTCTATGTTAAAGTGTCACAGCATCATTACATCAAAAAAATTGTACAAATGTTCAATATATAAACAAAATATTTAAATTATCATAAATGGCGAAGTTCAGGAGGAAAATTCAATGATGCTACTGTTGTATGTGTTTTAAATTGCATGTGTTTCAATCACACTGGCGGACTTTTAGTTCCTAAATAAATAACAAAAACAATTCATAAAAGGAATCGGTTTTTGTGTAAATTTGTTTTGAGTGGCCTGCTAGCATACACTTAATTTTGTAAATTCCTTATCGAATTTGGCACCCCTGTTGTAAAGCTTTTGATTGTATTATTTAGAAATATTTACTTTCAATATCGTATCAATCCATTGCTGTCGATATAATAGCATTAGTAATGCAGGTCCCCAAGACCAGTATGAAAATAGAAAATGGCAATGATGAAAAGTGTGTAATGAACTGTTTGTTCATAATGATTAATGATAGTAGAACAAAATAAAACTGCTATTTTGCAGCATACCCCACAAGACGCGAAAATATTAGAAAATATTCCACATAAACTAAGCCATATTAGCCGAGTATCAGGACAAACTTGTGTCTGAAGACTTTGTTGAACAAACTGGACTGAGGGCGACTAAAGTCCAGTTCATTCCCTAAAAGACACAAGTTTGCGCGTTTACTGCTAAAAAGAACCTCTTCGTCGTATCTCCTCCGTTTCAAGGCACTCCCCTTGTTGCCTTAGCCAGTATCGGAACGTTGATGTATCGAGTGACGTATAGTTTCGTAGTCACTTGGAAGAGAAGGCCCAACTGACCTCCAAAAAGCTTGGCGTACTCAGCAGAGCGGGACAGTATTTCATGACGGAACACTGCCTGCAACTTTACACGGCGCAGGTTCAGCCGCACATGGAATACTGTTCCCATCACTTGGCTGGGTCTCCCTAATGCCAGTTCCTTTTATTCGATCGCATACAACGCAGAGACGTTCGAATCGTCGGCGATCGAGCTCTTTCCGATCGGTTTGACTCACTGGCACTGCCAAGAGATGTTGCATCTCATTGCGTATTTTATCGCATTTACCACGGGGAGTACGTTGTTCGACTGATTCTAGTGCGGCTGGATTTAGTCCGAACAATTTCACCATTGCACGTCGCGACAAAATTCGCGATACCATCCATACCATCTAGATGACTGGCGGTCCACCACTGTGCGATTTAAAAGAAGTTTCTTCCTCGCACAACTTCCTTGTGGAATCGGCTACCACCAGAGATTTTACCGGACCGATACGACTTAGGGACCTTCAAGAAAAGAGCCTACTCATTTACTGCAACCAGCAATGAAACAGGGCCCTATATTAGCCTGTCAAACATGGGTTTAGTTTTGAGGGCATGCTATCTTTTTTATGCTAATTAGCTAAGTTTATATTTTATAAAAAATTTCGCGGCTTTGGTTTTCTTTTTTGGTTTCTTCTGGATGATCCATTCATAACTCAAGCTAGGTGTCATCGGTCGCCAGTAGATTAATGATGTTCGACGTCCCAGTACGGCAGTGCCGGCTACAAAGCTGAAGGCGCCCGAAGAATACACTCTAATCCCGCACGAAAAAACTGTATAAGGCCTATCAATATTCTTTGCGTGTTGAACGTCCATTGAAACGAATGTACTCGTATAAGACAATTCAACGATAAATGAAAAATATCTAGTGGGGTAAAGTAAGGTACGTAGTGGTAAAGTACGTACCTATGTCATTAATTTAAATTAGAAGTCTTTAACATCTTTAAAATTTAAATGGGAAGTTAATAAGGTGTAAAAAAAATTATGCGTGTAGTTGTGTACATACGTAAAAAGTGGAACTTTTACGGTTAAATTATAGTATACTCATGCAGCTAAAACGTTTGTAACATAAGGCGGTAAAACGTAACGATTTTTTAAAACTACCGTACTAAATTTCTCCACTACGTCGATAAAGAAGTTTCACTTCAATGATTAAAATGAAAATAAGTTGGCGATAGCAAAAAAAATGTGATGATCTATAATCGTACTCCAAGAACATACCTATAGTGGGTAGATACCAAAATTTGTCGCGTACAAGCTGGTTCATTGTGCCGATGTCAATTTTCTCTTATGCGATACCATCGGGTCAAGAAGTTATCCTCTCAGGCATCTCTCAATCATTTTTGTCATAAAAATATTTTTTCCCGATCGTAACAATAGAGCACACTTTCTTTATAATCCAATTGTAATAATTTACAATGATTCTGCGAGAGGAAAGAGGTCTGTTTAATTTTTTATAAAGTGACAAGCGACTAACAGTACACCTGATGGTGTCTGTTTTCTGAGGCAGGCAAACTAAAGACTGATCAAGTTCAGGAAATGATACAGACTATTCCTTACAATGAATCATTTCAGTTTCGAAAGCTGTTAGTTATTGCAACGTATTGCAATCCGAGTAAGAGTTCGTAACGACTTGTTTATAGTACGTGTGACGAGGGAGACGCGAATTGAGAAAAGCTGTGAAACTAGTGGCTTCGATATATTACATAGTTGTGTCATATACTATTTATACAAAAATGTTTATTATA